CCCCCCCCACCCCCTTTTCCTCCACTCCCTCGCTTCCTCCTCCTGCCATTTCCTCCTGCAGCGGCCACAGAACCTGTTTGATGCACATTTTCCACCCTCCTGGATGCTTTCCGTGCCGCCGGCAGCCTGGCTCCTCGGGTTTCAGCGGCCGTGCCGCCCTCATTGCTATTCCCTGCATACACCAGCCGTGCTGCCGAGCCATTTTTAGCCTCCCTTCCACCTTTCACACTGACAAGACCGACAAAGAAAGGCTTCCAGCTGAGCCCCAGCTTGGCACAGCTCCTGCTGGCTCCGAAAGGATGAAGGCTCCTTTTTTAGCTCGCCGGGTCCCAGTGAAAGGCTCAGCTGGAGTTAACGTACAGGGCTGGGGTAACCGATTCAGTAAAACCTAAGATCTCGTGAAAGTCATCGGTTTCCCTCCGCAGATGTTTGTGCAAACTGCTTCTCTCTCCTCAGGCCGGTTGGAGCTTGCTGGTCCAGATTTCACTTGGGAGATGCATGAGCTCATCCCACAAACCCAGCACCCACCACGGGCCTTCAGACAAGTCTCCTCAGTCCTCACCGCACTAATTCTGCATTTCCAGCTGCTTGTCTTAAACACCAGACCACTGAATTCCTGAAACACAGGACTGTGGGAATTGGGCACCTCTAAACCAAGACACAAACACAGCCAGGCTCCCAGTGCTTGAGACTAAATACCAGAAACCCACAACTGGCCCCAATTACAGGTTCCTTTGGGCAAACGCAGATTTATCTCTACATCCCTGATTAAGATTGCAAATAAAAATCCATCTTGGAAACAACAGTAACGTTTAAAAGAGCATCCAACACACGAGGTTGTTCTAAAGAACTGGGACTCACCTGAGTTGGGGAATATCTGGAACAAAGTATTTTGCTTAGTCCGAGAGCAATCCAAAAATCTAAAAGCAAACACACTGCAAGTTTGAAAACATTCACAAGCAAGAAAGGCTCATTTTGGATCACAGCAGCATTAAGGCTCTTCTCAACACACAGGTCTACATTTCCCAGAGGTCAAGAACAAATTCTATCAATTCTACAAATTTGTGGACATGTTTAGTTGATACCAAATCCAGAATGAAAGCTGACATTTCACTTTTTTTTTCTTCAGGATTCCTTAAAAACACCCTTTTCAACCTTAAACAGAATTGTCCTGCAACCATTTAGCAGGAAAATTTGCACATAAAGGCCAATTCATCCACTGCCTTCTCTGCAATACTGCAGAATTTGGCCCTCACAGTAGAATGAGCATTGTTTCAAGAACTTCTGTTGCTAAAAAAATAAAGCAGAAAGACTTGCAATTAGCTCTGTAATAATAATTAATGGAGCTTCAGTACATACCTTATAATTAAAACAAAATCCCTCTTAGAAAATGTTTAATATCATGGTGCCAGAAGGATGGATCATAATTCCAACATTTCAGGTTTTTGTTTTGAACCCAGCTACAGAATATAATTAAGTATAATAAATAATTAACATTAAATCACAGACAGGGTAATTAGTAAGACATCTTGGGAATCACGATCATTGCTTAGGTGTTCACTTGCTGCTTAATTCAGACAACACAAGCATTCACACCAGTTTGAATGGTTAGTGCAAATTAGCAGAATTTGGCAGCTCTGATTCACAGTTTGTGAGCACCTACTTCTGCCCCTTCCATTTCCTGGAGTTCAGGTGTTCTGGGGGGATGGTAACTGTGGTATGTAAAATTTGCATCCAAACACCAACAGCACAAGGCTTTACTGAGCATTTATCTCTTCTGATCATGCTTTAATTACAAATTCTTACTCAACAAACCCCATCAGGTCAGACTAAAGAACATTTACAGGGAATGGGGAGGACATGCAGGGACAAGGATCCACAGAAAAGCCTCTCTGGCTGTGTCTGTTCAAGGCCAGTGAACTACACAGAGTGGTCAGTTCACAGTAAATCAGGAGCTGCAGAAGTGAGAACTCAGAACCCACAATGTAAAATGTGGTTGGCAGACAAATACATAAATTAATGTCAAATCACTTATCAAACAACTAAGGCCCCAAATAACTCCATAATCAACCATCATTTTTTATCTGCTTTAGCTTCCCAGTAATTTGACCTGTTAGATGAGATTGTTATGAATTACAACAATTCAGTTTAGAAATAAAGGGAGTAATTATCACCAAAATTACCACTGGAATATAGTAA